ATATATATATATATATATATATATATATATATATATATATTATATGTGGGTACTCAAATGAAAGCTCTTGCTGAGTGTGACATCAGGATGAGCTTATATATTAAAAAATGTCAATAATTAAGAACTGACATTACTATCTTGTCAACTATTGACATTTTCAAAGATATAAGCTCACCCCGATATTAACTTCGCTATACCGGTGGCTAGCCTCGGGGCCTTTCTTTTCGGAGGGAGGAAGGAGGAGTCGGAGAAGTAACAACCTAGTTAAAAAACCAGGGTCCATCTAGCTCCGGATGGTAGCACCCTGTTATAGAGCCCCGCCGCTAGGGTTACAGCATGACAACGATGGTAAATGTCGAATGAAACGACAAAATTGTTTACGGCGCAGGAGAAGGATACCCCAGTGCCGGCGGCTGGCAGTGCTCAGACGGGCTGCTCGTCGTCGTTATCCAGCGACCGTTTGGACAGAGGAGTGGAGGAGGACCCCAAGGCTCCTCTGTCTGGTACAGCTACTGGGAGTAAAACACAGGAGATGGCTTTACTTCTCGATAAGAGGGACGAAGCTATTGGAAAGGAGGACAAGTTACTGGAGGAGCTTCAGGAACTTTTTAAGGAGACGGTGAAGACCATTAGCACGAAACGCACGGTGCCGACAGATGTTAAAAACAATGTGAAGGAGGCACAGAGGCTGCTGCTAGAGACTCTAGTATGCCGTAAGTCCTGGAAGATAGCTCAAGGGGAGCTTTCACAAAAAAGAGGCAGAGGAGAAAGAGACGTTGCTCAATCTTTTTGCGAGCCAGTGTCAGGCCCTCGAGAAACAATGAGAACAGACGCCAGTCTCCCAAAATAAAAAGAGGCTGGCAATCAGCCCACCAGAAGGATCGAAGAAAAATGTGCTGCGACAGCCTGACGGCAGTTTTACAGTCGTCACTGCCAAAGGTAAAAGGCAGCGCACCGGAAAAGACGATAAAGGCGTTATGGAACAACAAACGCCAAAACAGTTGGAGGTTAAAAACCAGAAGAAGCCGGAGGAGGAGCCGCTATAACTGGTGGTAAGCAAAAAGAAAAAGAAAAAGAAGAAAAAACCGGAAGATGGAACAGTCGACCAGGCAGTGACAATGGACCCAGCAAGACCGGGGACAGGGACTACGGGACCAGGACCAGGGACGAAGTCGACAACACCAGCCAAGAACGACCGAAGGCCGAGGAGGAAGCAACGACTGGAGATGGTGCTGATTAATCCAGGTGAGTCCAAGTCTTCTGGTGACGTTCGGAGGGCTTTGCGCTCGGGACTTCATCCAGAGGAGTTGGGTTTAGGGGTTAAGGCTGTGAGGTCTGCCAGAAAAGGTGGTCTTCTTATTGAGTTCGAGGGATCTGTTAAAGATCGCTCGGCACTCGGTAATAAGATCACTGAGGTAGCCGGAGAAGACGTGGAGGTGCGCCATCTTGCCCCTACCGCTACGTTGGTAATAGACGGGATGGACTTCGCTACGACGGTCGAAGAGGTTAAGGCAGCCCTGGCGGAAGCTATCGGTGAGACTGCGGATGGACTCAACGTGTCCATCACGAAACCCAATAAATGGGGATCCGTCCGCGCTTTCATCGAGGCTGGAATTGGGGCTGCTGCGGCTTTGGAGACTTTGGGAGAGGTCAAGGTCGGCTGGTTGGTTCGCCGAATCCGCCGTTGGGAGCAACTCGATCGGTGATACCGCTGTCATGGACTGAGCTACTTAGCCGGCTCGTGCAGGGCAGGGGAGGACCGGAGCGGTTGCTGCTGGCGGTGTGGTGAGGTGGATCACAAGTCAAATACCTGTACCAAGCCTCTGCGCTGCCATCTCTGTGAAGCGGTGGGAAGCAGGCAAGCCTTTGATCACGTGGCGGGTTCTGGACGGTGTACGACCTATCGGGAGGTACTCCAAAAGAAAAATGGCTAAGAAGCTGCAGGTGAATCTACATCGGTGCAAACTGGTCCTTGATCTGCTTTACGCTAGAAATCGTGACAACGGGATGGATATTGTTCTGGTATCAGAGCAATACCATTCTGTTTCTGGGCCAAATTGGTACTGAGACCCTACGGGCACAGCGGCAATTTTGATTCCGGATCGAAGTCGCCTTTCTGTGTGTAATAGTGGAGCGAGAGACGGCATTGTATGGGTTGAGACACCAGCAGTTACCTTTGTGTCGTGTTATTTCACCTTCAGCGAGCCTAGTGCGGATTTCCGAAAGAAGGTTGACAATCTCGAGCGAGTAGTCCGCCATCTTGATGGAGAGATAGTGATAGGTGGTAACTTTAACGCAAAGTCCATTGATTGGGGAATGGATTATAGTGATACGCGGGGTGATGAGCTCCTGGATATGATGGCCGGTTTCGACTTTGTCATTATGAATAGGGGAAATACACCCACTTTCCGGAGAGCTGGCGTGCGTTGATCGATTTTAGACCTAACATTCGCTACTCAACGGATAGAGGGAGTAATCTCAGACTGGACTGTTTTGGAGGAGTATACGGCAAGTGATCATCAATATATTTCGTATACGGTCAACAGTGTGAGGGGTAACCCACCTACTGTGCCGAAGCGACAAATAAAGCAAACAGGATGGAAAGTGTCTTTCCTGGATGAGAGCGCATTCCAAAATGCAGTCTCAGATAGAATTGACACGCTTCCTGACTCATTTGCAGAGTCGCGCGAAAATGTTGATTCACTTGTTGGTCAAACGATGGAAGTGATCGTTGCAGGGTGCGACGCTGCTATGCCTCGCCGTTCCGCAGGTTCTCGAAGGAAGCCGGTTTACTGGTGGACAGCGGAAATTGCGCTGCTCAGGGCTGAGTGTTTGCGTCTTCGGAGGCAAGCACTTAGGTCGCGAAAGCGAGATACTGGGCAGCAAAAGAACGAAGAGTACAAAGTGGCGAAGAAGCAACTCGTCACGGAGATCAAGGCGAGCAAAGGGAGGTGCTGGGAGGCAATCTGCAGAGAAGTAGACGATGATCTATGGGGCAACGGCGACTGGATCGTCACTCGCAAATTTGTTGGTCGCGGTTCAGTAGCTCCTATGGAACCCGATAGGATGGAGGAAATAGTCCAAACCCTGTTTCCCAATCGCGAAGAACGGGTATGCACTCAAAGTGTAATATCCGATGACGAGTGCCCACTTTTCACAGCAGTGGAGCTGCGGGCAGTTTTTAAGTCCCTCAAGGTAGGTAAGGCTCCGGGTCCTGACGGCATTCCCATCGAGACCTATAAGGTCCTCATTAAAAAGCATGAACAACTGCTCCTTGATACTTACAACGCCTGCATCTCGACTGGAGTCTTTCCGAAGAGATGGAAACTGCAACGGTTGGTTCTGTTAGATAAAGGTAAGGGTCCACCCTATACACCTTCGTCCTACAGACCACTGTGCATGTTAGACGTCGCAGGGAAGATTTTCGAAGCCCTTATTCGGAATCGACTTCGGAAAGAAGACCGATGATGGTGGCCTGGCTGAAAACCAACATGGCTTTCGGCCGGGTCGCAGTACAATTGGTGCCGTTTCGGAAGCGCTTTCATTTGCTCAACAGGCCTGGACGGGTCATCATCGTTGCCGTCCAGTGTGCATTATGATGACGTTCGACGTCAAAAAAGCATTTAATTCGGCAAGATGGCCGGATATAATGAGGGCGCTTCGGAAACTAGGTCTATCGGAGTATCTCATTCGCATCATAAATAATTACTTAAATGATCGTTACTTGATGTATGAGACTACTGCAGGACACGTCATGAAGAAGCTAAGTGGAGGAGCAGCTCAGGGTTCAGTCCTTGGACCAGAACTCTGGGTTATCCTTTATGATGCACTTCTGCGCCTAGATCTACCGCAGGAGGTAAAGCTGGAGGGTTTTGCTGACGACGTGGCAGCACAAATACTTGCACGGAACGAAGGCGAAGCCTAGGACTCCTAGAAAGCTTCCCTGGCTATTCCCGCGTGGGTGTCACTATGTCTGTATGTAAGTATGTATATATGTATGTATGTATGTATGTATGTATGTGTGTGTGTTTTTCTTTTTTTTTTATAGGGGTAAAATACACTTACGTATGCCAGGACTTGGTGTTGGTGCCAGGGCTAGGTGTTGGTGCCTGGGTATGTCGGACTCAGAAGTCAATGTTATTTTGCAACAATACCGACTAAACATCCTCCTCTCTCCTTTCCCCATAGATGTTACAGGGAAGACTATCGGGACCGCGTTAGCATTACTTCGATCCAGTCCATGTTGTGTCTCACGACACCTACTTCTTGTTACTACTGGTTTCTAATCCCTTTTTGCGATTTTTTCTTTTAAAATCGTGTTTAACACTGCCTTTTCCGTCTCGCTGCAGGTATCCGGAGTCGGGTTGTTCTGAAGAATAGACCAGCTTCGTGCAAATGAAGCTCGCAGTGCCTCCGAATCAAGCCTCCTGGCATTATTCTTCCGCTTAGAAAGGTTGCATTGTGAAACCGGAGCAGATTTCAATCCAACGTTGAATGTCACGAACTGGTGATCACTACCACTGTATTCTTCGGATACAGTCCAATCTTCGATCATGTTGGCAGTCCTTGGAGTCGTCAACGAAATGTCGAGGATGGACTCTTGGTACCCTGGTCTTCTGAAGGTCGTGGTGCTCCCAGTGTTCAGCACTATGAGGTTGAGTCTAGCCGCGACGTCAGTGACCTCGTTACCTCTGGTATCGGAAAAAGCAGCGCCCCACTCAGCCGATTTAGCGTTGAAATCTCCGGCTACGATGACTTCGCCGTCGAACTTAGTGACCGCTTCTTTTATATTTGCCAGTTTCTGTCGGAACACACTATTCCCTTCGTTAGGTGAGAGATAGACGCTCATGAAGCAGGTTGTGGGGGTTTGAATCCAGACAAAACCTGCTCCACTTCCGCTGCTGCTGACGGTAACGCTCCTTGTATTCACAATCCAAATTGCTGCCGTGCCAGTTTCGTCAGCAAACCATGTTTTATCTTCGATGTTTAGGTATTGCTCGCAAATAAAGCAGATGTCGATTTTAGCTCCATTGCCAGAAATATGGCATAAACCATCCTGTGCATCTTGGTCCGGAGCACAAAGGAAGCATTTTGGCTTCTCCGTGCAGTTTACGGCCTTGTGGTCCTCTCCGCCACATTTGTAGCAGCACCTGCTTCTGTCTGGTCCCACACACTGACGTGTTTGGTGTCCAAAACCAAGACATTTAAAACAACGTGTTACTTTTACAATTGGGCGTATACGACAGTTCACCAAACCGATCATTATACGGGCCTTATTAAGGGCCTTAATCGCACTGGCCTCGTCTACTTCGCAGAAAGCTGCCCGATTGCCTCGTGGTGTGGGTTTTGTCAAATTTACCCGTTTGACCTCCAGGCTATCAGTGAATTCACTTTTGAGTGCTTCACGGACTTCGCTCTCGGTAGAGATTTCATTCAAGTCGAGGATCTCGATCGTTGTTGTTGGTGTTAGCATCTTGACCTTGCCGATGTTTGCAGTGGCTGACTTTACTGCATCGGTGAAAGCCGTGCTGTCTTCGGTCTTTTTAGACATTTCAAGGAGAACGCGTCCATGTTTCGTCTTTTTAATAGACTTTATGTCTACGCCCGTCTCAACAGGGCTTACCTTGGCCTTGATTTCCTTGAGGAGATCGGCGTATGTTCGCCCTTTAGCTGGTTGGACGAGCACAGCTTTAGTTCTTGTCTTCTTCCTCCTCGGTTTCTTGGAGCCACCATTGCTTGGCTAGTTTTGGGCTATAGCAGATTGAGCCGCTGGCTCCTGTTCTCTTTCCTTTTTTTACTTTTGCCAAGTCACTTTAGTCCAGGTGTCTTCCCGGGCTGTCTTTTTCTCTGCTGGCTTGTCATTTACTGCCCGACTAGAAATTTTATTGTAAGACCTATTGGGCCCGCGTTGGATTTCCTAATAGGGACCCCACATGGGGATGTCATGCAAAGTCCTATGCGGCCCTCATTGGGCAATCCCTTTTTGGTCCCAATGGGGAAATCCCCATCAGAACCCAATCTAAATTTTGAAAGAAAAAATATTATGATTTTCAAAAAGATTAAAAATAATCTAGGATCAGATACTGATATTATATTAGACCTCGTTGGTGAATTTAATTTGAATTGAAATGAAATCGTCGATCGAAAAAATCCTTGTCGTGAGTTGGGCTCGAACTTGCGTCCTTTGGGTCCTCAGTCCTTGACGTTACCGCTGGTCCAAGCAGGAGTGCTGATGAGTAAAGTTCCTATCTCGTATACATGAACTTTACCGGTTGACTGAGACATTATTCTTGTTATGCTCAAGTTTTGAGAAATTTTTTTTTTTTATTTATCCACTCTACTGACGTGGAAATACAATTTTTGTATAAATTAAATAAAAAATTTAAAAATAAAAAAAAAAAGTTTACCGAAAAATGTAAAAAAATTGAAATAATCAAAAATAAAATTCCTTAAAACTGTCCGATTTAATTTTGAATCCCCCTTATACTAACACAAAAAATTTTTTTTTGAAAATTAAAATTTTTTTTGAAATGCAAGTTATTTTTTCAAATTTTATCGTATGGATGAAAATTTAATTATGAAAAAGTTTAATTTTTTTTTACAATATAAATTCTTTTGCAAATGTGAATCCTCAAAAGTTGGATATTTTTCAAAAATTGAATTCTAATATACTGATAATAAAAATTATCTTCAATTAAAGATTTTTTTTTATACTGAGAAGAAAAAATTCTGAGTATGAATGTTGTTTCAGCAACATCAAAATGTATTTCAGTCTAAAAACTCACACAGAAAAAAAAATTCCTTTACTGGAGAACAAAATTCTTGGCTCAAGAAAATTTTCGGATGCCTGAAGGAAGACCGAAGTTATGTTGGCCGAAGTAAAAATTTTTCTTGAAATTCTATTCTTGGTGGAAGTAGTTTTTTCTTAATTCGAATTATCACAAAAACTTGATACAATACATTTTTATATTTGATCAAGATTTTTAGATACTTTAGAGAAGCAGCGCCACCTACTTCAGTTTTAAGAAAAAAATTTCCTAACCTTGAGAAAATTCTTCTCTTAAATATTTGATACCGATTTTGTATTATTTTAGCGTGCAATTATACATTTTGAATAAAAAAAATGATTCAATATTATTTGATCATCCCATTTGACATGTTGATCAATGAAAATATTAATGAGAATTTACTTCTATCGAGATATTTAATTTTTTGGAGCAAGCGAGAAATTTTCTAAAGACAAGAAAATTTACTTCTATCAAGAACTAAATTTTTTGGAGCAAGAGGCTAAATTTTCTCAAAACAACAAGATTTTCTTGACTTGAATAAATTTTCTTGGATCAAGATACTTATTTCTTTAATAAGCAAGAAAATTAATTTTATTGGAATAAGTGAAATTTCTTGTGCCAAAAGAAATTTTTTTTTTCGCTCAAGAAAATAATTAGAAAGAAAAAAATATTCTTGGCTCAAGTGAACCTTTTTTTTCTGTGGAGTACTTGAATTTAATTTGGAATTGATCCCAAATTGATATAGAATAACTCCGCTAAAAAAACTTCGTATTCACTCTACACGCGAATTAATTAATTACTTTACTCCAAAACTCTGAGTAATGGGATTAAATTTTAATTTGGATTAAGATTTACTCCGAATTCATCCTGATTTTTTACAATGTATTTTAATCTCGTCAAATGAAATATTTCAAAACATAAGGTTATGTAAAATTTGATGAAGCTAAACTTTGTAGTTTTTATTTAACCATGTTAGATGATTTTTTTTCCTAATTCTTTACTAATACTTATCGGCTAATTTTTATTTTTATTTCTAATTAATTTACAATGAATATATGTTAATAATATAAGCTCACAGATTTTTGGGTGATTGATTTTTTATATAAATAAACGATTGTCTAAATTTAAAGATTATTTCTTCATGCATCTACTCTCAGGTTGGGTTATCCCAATTGGATCCTACTACGAGCCCAGTTGGGAAAACCCATCGATGACTTATTTTCATTACGTTGGGAAAATTCTCTTCGGTCCCAAACCAATCCCACTCGGGAAAACTTAGCAATTTTATTATTATTTTTCGTTGGGTTATCCCTCTTAGATCCCACACAGCTCCCACTGGGGAAAATTTAGAAATTGTATTTTTTTTTCCGTTGGGTTATCCCTCTTAGGTCCCACATAGGACCCTATTGGGAGAAACTGAATAAAAAATTTTAATTTTACGTTGGGATTTCTTATTTAGGTCCCACACAGGGCCCTATTGGGAAAAACTGAATGAAACGACTCATTTTTGCATTGGGATTTCCCATTTAGGTCCCACGCAGGGCCCTATCGGGAAAAACTGAATGGAAATTTTTATTTTTACGTTGGGTTTGCTCGATTGGGGGCTAATTAGGCCCTTATAGGGATTTCCCAATTGGGCGTGCCTCTTTGGGACCCAATCAGGTCCAGATGTATACGCTGGGTAATCCCAAAGTAATTTCTAGTCGGGTGAAGAAGGGCTGGGCGTGGACAGCAACCTCTTCTTGTTGTTTTTCTCTCCTTTCTGTTGTGGTTTCTCAGGCGTGACCAAAGGTGGCTGTGCTTTTGTAGTCATCCACGGAGATGTTTGCGTAGTTATCCCCAGCGTCGGCGATTTGTTGGCCAGCCTACATGCCGTGACAATGGACGTAACCAATTTTCTAATTATGTTAAAATCTCCCTCGCTTCCTCCTAGCCGATATTACCAACTAAACCACTTGAGGTTTATTCACCCCGCCACTTGTAGGCAGGTCAGGTGCTCCAGCAGAGCTACAGGTGCCCTCTGGCCAACATTTGGCGCGCATTATTATTATTATTCTCTCTTATTGCCTCTCGCAGTCTAACCTATCTATCGCATCTTATTATCTATCGCATCTAATCTAATTTTTATTAATTAATCGTGATCTAAATCATTTTAATATTAATTTAATCTGTTTCAGTAATTATTCTTAATTACCCTGCAGTTATCAGTTTCATTATCTTGTGCTTTTTGGCTTGTTTACTGCTACTTCAACATATTGGCTTCTCCATCGCATGGTTTGCACGTGCCTAACCAAGCTTTATCCTTTTTCTATCGCGTTTTGCTAACTAATTGTGATTCTAGCCTCGAATAAATAATAATTAAACTTAACTGTGATAAATATATATGTGAAATTGAAGTTAGAGATATATATAATTATTAATAAATGTAATTAATAACAACGAAGTTGTTTAAATAATTTGAATACCAGAAACTATCCAAGTCCCAGCATTTTTATCGT